TGGAAAATGACAATGACGGCCATAGAATGGTCAATGAACTATAAACTACACGTATTTGGAATGGCACCGACTGTTGTCGCATATGGCATTTGTATGGCATTTGTCATCTCGCTTAGTGCGTCCAAAAAAGCTACATAGTGGGGGATCCCTTTCTCTCTCCAGTTCATTGCTTTTAGGTTTGGTATATTCCTAACCTCAAATATATTATTTTTTAGACAAAGAAAGATTTCCATAATTCGCCGATAAGATAAATAGAGATAGGTTTACCCCGCATTCTCCATCTCAATTTGCCGCAAATTTATGGATCGGCGGGCCATTCCTGGTACGTGCAGTTTATAGTTCATTGAGAATGGTGGATCCATTAGTAAAATTTGATGAGAATAAAAACACAGAAAGTATTGACGCAAAGTTGACATGGATTCCACATGTCAATAACACATGTGCCAAAGTGGCGTCAGGAGTCTATGCACTCAGAACAATGATGGAGAGTGTTTCCGAGCAAGCAGCACGGGCCACCTTTTTTGCTTGTGTCCAGTCAAAAATATCATATGGAATTCTGGTCTGGGGACACCAACTTTGAATTAAATCCATGATCAAAAATTTCAGTTGAATTTAATCTCCGGTTAAGTTCAAAGTTGGTGTCAACTGATAGTTTATCAAAATCTAAGATAGGAATGTGAAATCGGTTTTCCTCTAAAATTAACCAATTCGGTTTTACAGCCTGTCAAAGTTGCAATAAGTCAATTTTCAACTGTCAATATTTCCAAAACAGTTGAACTTAGGTATAGGGTATATTACATGAAATCTGCTCAGAATTTTACATAGAATCCAAATATGCAATCACATACTATTTAATCTATTTAAAATAGCGATGTTGCCACTAGTTTAGAGTAGAAGCGGCAACACCGCATGGTCAAAAATATTTTTAAAGTGTAGATCATGGTCGTTTATCCCGGTTGCCAAATTTTCAAAATGATCCGCTTTTTAGTTCTCCATAAACGTCTAATACGCCATCCACCGTGGGACACCTTGTATATATGAATTGTGCTTAGAATTACTAACCCTACAATTCTATCCATGTTTAGTGACTGGGAAAATAAGTACCGAAAATCGTCACTGCCTCCTAGACTATTATGTAGCAATTCAAATTCCCTCGTGGATATTACTAGGCTGCCATTTTTTGATTCATTCATACTCAATTTATTCGCTGAGAATCAATCTACAGACATTCGATTTTTTGTAATAATTACATACTGCCTTATTCTTGATGAAACACCCGGTATATTTTGTCATCGTCATAATGCGTGACTTTTCTACTTCACAAAAATGTATGCTTTTTTTCAATTATCATGAAATTGAATCGTAAAAATTGCAATTGGTTGAAGAGCGTACCGTCGACTGGCCAAAAAAAAATGATAATTATTAATTTGTGTGCACTTATTTGTGTTTAATACTTGTATTATTAGTTAACTATGCGCTAATTAGTTAATAAAAGTATTAAGCACGAATTAATTATCTTTTTTTTTTTGGTTAGTCGATGGTATTCCCTTCGACAAAGTGCAATTTTCATGATCCAAGTTCAAGATAATAGAAAAAAATTATACATTTTTGTAAAGTAGAGAAATCAGGCTTTTTAACGATGACAAAAGATACAGGGTGTTTCATTAAAAATAAGGCAGTAATTTTATTTCAAAAAATCGCATGTTTGTAAAACCAAATTTTCGCAAATTTCAGGATTCGATAATAATGTGGAAAAAAACTTTAAAAAATCCCTATTCTCCCAGAACAAACCTCATCTCGTTATCTTTTCCCGTTTTATATGTCAGTTTATCTAAGAATCTAAGGACACCCTGTATTATAAAGATTATAGTCAGTTGGAGAGAAATTGTTGCTGTTTTGGAGGCATTTTTGTTTTGTGATATTAGAGTTTTCTCCCACCAACTCCCATATCGTTTTCGGGTTGAAATGATGCTTTTGTAGATAGGAAAAATGATCCCTTTTTTTGGCTTCTTGTATGGAAATTTGGTAATTTTTTTTTAGAAACTGTTTTAATTGTGCCAGAATAGGACAATTTTTCTGTTTGGCTGCTTCTGAAACAAATTGCGAAAGTTCTCTCTGTTCGCGCAGACTATCATTATACCATTTAATGTATTTTTTATTATGAGTGATTTCAATTTCCGGAAAAGCTAATTCAATATTATTTTTGAGAAGGTTGACAAAAAGAGAGAATTTGTCATCAGTTGAGATTAATCCCGAGTTTACAAAATCCCAATCCATGGAATCAACTAACCCATACAGATTGAAAATGTCCTGCTCTGTGATTGTTCGGCTTTTATGAACCTGTTCTGTATCTTGTAATGAATGCTTCAAAGTTATTTCTGCATAAAGAGCTGGGTGGTCTGATATTTTCAAATACCTTGTATATGCCCTCTCTCTAGAGACATTAAAATTAACAAAAACATTGTCTATGCATGAACCTCCGCGCGTTGGTGTAGAGATAACCGTACAAAACCACAAAACCCAAATGTATTTATTAGATCCAAAAGAGAAACTGCTTTACTATCATGCGACAGAAAGTTAACATTGAAGTCTCGATTTATTCGAATATCATATCTTGTTGATCTTATTTTTTGCACAATTTGTTCGAAAATATATTTTAAAAAAAATCAAAATTTCCAGATGGAGGTCTGTAGTATGTTATTACAATAAGTTTTAGTTTATTTGATTGGACTGCACATACCTCACAATGCATTTCCTGTGATAGACTATTTATGTCATCTCTGCCTTTGAAAGTGTGTGCTAAGGATTTTTTAATAGCAATCTCTACATTCCCTACCCCTCCATGACCATGAGAATGCTCTTTTCGACAGTAATAGGAAACAACACTATAATTTATAATTTTCATGACTATTGCTTCATGATCAAGTAACCAGTGTTCGCTAAAACAAAAAATATCTGCGTTAAAATTTGAAGATTCCAAATTTAATAACTTATTCCTTATACATTAAACATTTAGGTGTACAATAACTAAGGATTCCAAAACTGAAACATTATTAGGAAAATCGATTTTATTTAGACCTAGGCTGAAAAATCACCAGCACAAGAGTCCAGAAAACCCTTATGTTTCCTGAAATCAAACCTCTTGACTCCTACGTATCTGGGCCAAAAGTCTGGATTGTACATACTGTCCTTCTGCTGCAGAGGTCCTGTGACAACAAAACATTTCAGCTTATTTTCCTCTGTTGGTAATTCCCTTGCTGTGATTGGTAGACGTTCAAAACCTGGTTTGTTTTTAATGAATTGTATGATATCTTTCTCACATAAACAGATAGGTAATAATATAAATAGTTATATTTGCGAAGACGATCCCAAACTAACCCTGAGCGCTAAGGTAAGAATCACACCATAAAAAGCCATTAATATTGTTTCATATCAATGGCTTTTCATGATGTTATTCTTTCCTTAGCGTTCAGGATCAGTCTGGGATCTTCTTCGCGAACAAAGCAAATAGGTGCACCATCAAATTCATGATATTTATTATCTTGAATATACGGTAGCACAAAAATAATATTACTAAGTACCAAAGTACCCATTTTTTTAAAAAATTAATTTGGAAAAATATTTTGTAATTGAATCTACTCAGATATTTTACACATTCTGGCAACTCCGCTTTCTGTTTTATAACCCTGAAATAGACCTACCTATCTATTTTTACCTGTTGGCAATGCATTTTTATTGGCTAACTAGTACAGGTGTGAAGTTATCCTTTCGCATGCTGGGCATTTCCTTGTCCTTGTTCATTGCCCGTGGTCTGACAAGGATAAAATTATGCTTGATATTCAACTTGACGTAGCTTGACAAGTGATCGATTTTCAATTGTTTGTGTTTTTGATTGACAAATACGTTGCATGTCACGCGGTTTTCCTCCTTCCTTTTTTATTCCGTGCAAATAATAAGAACGGATTGCTATACGTAAGTCTAACATAATTTGGTACGTTTTGCCTCGTTTTGCGCAATAAGCGTTTTGCGTCTTTCTCTATCTAATAAAGTTTCCGTATTATTACCTCTTTGTCTGGTAAAATAGATAGGTCTATTTAAAATAGTATATTAAAGTATAAGTGGATATTAAGGTCTTTAAAACACGCGCGATTTTTCGAGCACGACGGCGCAGCCGAGTGCTCGAAATAAAGCAAGTGTTTTAAAGACCAGTTATCCACGAATACTTTACACTATTTTTTTTTATTGGTATACGTTCAAATCATAAATTACTAATAATAGTAGAATGCAAATTTGTGCTTGACACTTGTTACATTTTATTTGACGTTATCTACAAGTACCTAAGCTACTCCTGACAAATCAATAATTAAAAAGTTGACATTTAGACCTTTCTCGGGTGGTTGGTTGTTGATGTTGTCATTGGTAACTTTAAAACACGCGCGTTTTTGAAAGTTGGATTTAAACTCGCTGAGGAGTACTTTAAATAAGTGAAATAGGGTATCAATAATAGTTATTTATACACCAAGCTTCGAATGAATAAACATTTTAACTCACGTGATGTATACAAAATTTTATCCCATTTTGGGAAAATTTTAAAAATAAAGTAGAAGGAAAAATGCCGGGAGTGAGTTAAAAATATTTTAAATCACTGAGGTTTCAGATTTTTAGTTGGGCAGAGTGACTTAAAATGTTTTTAAATCACTGAGGTGATAAACGTCTACTTACCTTTATTGTTATGCGTTCAATAATGTCATTTTTAAACGTCAAAATGGGATAAAAAAAAATACTTTGTCATCAAATGGCATTATTATAGGAGGGTCAACCTGTCAAATTTCCATGGATAATGGTACGTCAATAATATCTGAAAAGCATATACCACCCAATAATTCAATTGTGATGCTACTTCGGTAACAAATTGTTAAGTCGCGCAAGGATTCAAAGTATAGAATGGTAATACTAGGTATTACTCTGCATTACAGATTGACCCAGCGACGGTCATTATAATGGACGACAACAAATTACAAGAGATTTTTCCCAAAGCTGGGGACCAATTAGCAGTCCTTCATTTTTGTCGCCGGGAAGTGATGCCTAAGAAGCAAGGCCTTATTGACCGACTAAAATCCAAGATACAAGAAAGGAATGCTGCACACTTTGGTGAATCATCAAAAAAAAAAGAAACTGCTTCAAAAAAAACCACGAGAATTATTGAGTTGGGTTGGATGTACGCCAGTGACACTGAGGAATTTCGTCAGGTACGAAAATTATCAGGTGGTGGCACTCGGCAAATTCAAGTAGAACAATCCGCTAAGGTGTCCCTATTGAGAGAGAAAGCAATAGAACTTTTTTTTCCTGGCGGAATATCACCCAAGGGCAAAATATCCGACTTTGCATCGGTACTCTTAGTTGATTTTAAACTAAATGCACTAGACGAGACTTTGACAGTTAAACAGTATTTTGAACTGACGGCCTTAACGAAGCTTCGATTTTATTTGGCAACCAGAAATTTAAATGAAGAATCGTCTGAAATTTCTGCCTTACGGCCCAAAAGAGGAAAACGCAAACGCAACAAATTTCAATTTTCTTCTGAGGAAGATGATAGAAGTGACTATGGAGCATCGGCAGCTTGTCAGGAACTTCTTTTGCATCAGGATAATCGAGATGTAAGTAAAAATTTTAATTTTCAAATTGCATACATTTAATTGTTAATAAGCCTATTGCTTACACATTTTACGTTTAAGTCATGCAATATGCCGTCAGTGTCTTATGAGGGCATGGGATTTGAAACATTAACCTCCACAACATCCTTGGGCACCGAAGTAAGAGAAGAAACGTTTGCGTTAGGCGATTCTGGTCCAGACGAACTTACTGTACTGGTGAACAGCATACTGGATGACACTTATAATGAACCTAACATTGAAGAAAGCCTTCCCAACATAGAGGAAAACCTTGCCACGTTTTTAACACCTGACGTGCAGTCATTAGAACAGATACTAACTAACTTACAAAATAGGATTAGTTCAGTTAATATTACGAAGATAAACGTTTACAGAAAAGACATTTTTGGCTGCTGTCTACGTGCATTCCGACGCAAAAACTTTAAACCGTTCAACATAATTCATGTAAATTTCACAGATATTGAAGAGAAAACTGAAGGTGCCATTGACGAAGGAGGTCCAAAGCGAGAGATGTTTCGACTTCTTTTGAAGTTTTTGTCCAACAGTAATCTTTTTACGGGAAACGAGATGAAGCACATATCACTAGACAGCAAAGCATTACATGAACAGTACTATTATGAGGCCGGGAGGATTATATCTCTTTCACTTGTTCACGGCGGCACTGGGCCCCATTTTTTCTCCGAGACCCTGTATTCATTGGTTACATATGGGATAGAGAACACAACTTTAAGATGCGAAGATCTGGAACCTGATATAAAAGAGAAAGTAGATCTGTTTCAGAGTGAAACGGATTTGTTTAAGTTACGAGATATGATTTTATCCGATTCCATATTTCCTACTGCAGGATGCCATTTCATTGAAAAGTTGGATGACAAAGAACGTATTCTACAAGGTATTTATTTTATTCACGTATTAACCTTTGCAATAAATTAATGTAATTTTGATTTCGTAGACACCTTGAAATTTTATGCCTATCGCAGAATTCAGGAGCCCTTGAAACAATTCATTTCTGGATTGAACACTTGTGGAGTATTAGACGAGATTATTAAGAATCCAGATCTGTTTAGGACATTATTTTGCCTAACAAAAAAACCTCTAACTGCTGACAAAGTAGAAAAGATGTTTCAGGTTATTGAATACAGCCCCATTGGATCGAACAGACGAGAAAATGAAAACAGAACGATTTGCTTTTTTAGAGATTACTTAGAAGATTGTCAGGGTAAGTTTTTGTAGGTTCATCACTTTTTTTTGTATTTTTTGCATAGGTAAACATATGAATGATGCCTTTTCTTTCCAGAAGGAGAAAGTTCTGCAAAATTAGAGGATGTTTTCATATTTGCGACGGGCACCGATGCTTTTCCACCTTTAGGATTTCCAGTAAGACCAAAAATTGCATTTCTTCCAGAAAACGCAATTTTCCCTACTGTCAGTACATGTGCTATCGAACTTAAGTTACCTACGTCATATGTATCCTATGAAGAATTTAAGGATAAAATGGATTTTGCAATTCTTAACTCGAACGGGTTTGGAGCTGCTTGAATTTATAAAATTTTGCAAATCCGGTAGGCAAGTGCTAGGGAGAAGTGAGATATTCCATATCGAAAGCCCAGGCTACTAATGAAATTATAATTTTAGTGTCATAGAACCAGTCATTTAATTTAATTTATGATTTAATATAATTCAATTTAAAAAAGTTTACTATACAATACCATATGGTGGACTTTTTAAATTGAGTTATACAGGGTGTTCACTTAGTGCGATATCGAACAATATCTCCTTACAGGGTGATGCAAGAAAAAAAGGTAAAATTACAAAGATGTTTGATACTCCAATGTGCATTAGTTAAAAATATTGTTGAATATACAGGGTGCTCCGTTTATGGGGTATGCGACAAAACTTTGTTATTTTAAATGGCACACCCTGTATGTGTTTGCATATTTGGATTCTACGTAAAATTCTGAGCAGATTTCATGCAATATACCCTATACCTAAGTCCAACTATTTTGGAAATATTGACAGTGGAAAATTAACTTTTTGCAACTTTGACAGGCTGTAAAATTCAAACGGTAAATTTTAGACGAAAACCGATTTTACATTCCTATCTTATATTTTCATAAACTATCATTTGATACTAACTTTAAATTTAATCCATGATTAAAAATTCCAGTTAAATTTAATCTCCGGTTAAATTCAAAGTTTGTGTCAAATGATAGTTTATCAAAATCTAAGATAGGAATGTTTATGAAAATCTGAGATAGGAATTTAAAATTGGTTTTCGTCTAAAGTTAACCGTTTAGGTTTTACAGCCTGTCAAAGTTGCAAAAAGTCCATTTTCAACTGTCAATATTTCCAAAACAGTTGAACTTAGGTATAGAGTATATTGTACGAAATCTGCTCAGAATTTTATGTAGAATCTAAATATGCAATCACATACAGGGTGTTCTATTCAAAATAACAAATTTCTGTCGCATACCCCATAAACGGAGCACCCTTTATATTCAAAAATATTTTTAACTAATGCATATTAGAGTACCTACAACTTTGTAATTTGACTTTTTTCTCTTGTGTCGCCCTGTAAGGAGATATCGTCCGATATTGCACTAAGGGCGGGTATTATAAAACTGCTTTGACAGTTAACTTGAAGTTAACTTTTTGAATTGCATGTAATTCCAGAAGTTAACTTTAAGTTAACTCTCAAAGTTGCTTTATAATACCCACCCTAAGTGGACACCCTGTATATTGAATTCCTAATTAAATTAAATGGCTGTTAGAATCCAACTATAAATTTTAAGTTTTTGATATTTTTTTTTTGACAAAAAATAGGAAAATCCGTTTATGTTATGATAAAGTGGCTAATTTTGCAACTTTTTTGTGCCTGTATTATAGTCCGACAAATACCATTTTAAAGTCACGTGATACTGGTGGCAAAAAACGTATGTTCATTGATTATGTCGTTGATATCACCTACAAAAAGCTACTGGTGGTTAATTACTATTGAATTTTAATATATGTTCCCACTAGCATTTTACAAACGCGTTTCTGAAGTAGTATTGACCAATCAGAGGGCAATTTTAATACTTGCAATTGTTGCGAGTCTGACTTTTGCTGCATCTGCTGTCTGTTGTAATACATTCTGAACTTAAACTAGGTACCCGTTTTCTATTTGCTTCTTTTCGAGTTGGAAAAAGGTTAATATAGTCAAAATTATAAGCTGTGTTTGCTCGTTGTATTATTTTCGAAAATAACTTTGACAAACTAATTGAAGTAGATAGTCAAAGGGGATTCAAGAATCAAGCATTCTTGACACGATGGTGGATGCGCCGCCGTTGACACGAAGGTGGATGCATCGTCGGCGCCATCTTGTCAAACGTCATGGCGCCATCTAGCGTACATAGTGTGAAGTTCGTAATACAGGATGCTGTAGTTGGGGGCCCGCAGGGCTCCGCCCCCCAAAAAGGGGGCCCGCAGGGCTGCGCCCTTCAAAAAGGGGCCCCCGGATTTTAATATGGGTACCAGAAAAAGGGGTGGGGGGAAATGTTTTCCCGCCATTTTGTCAACCGTCACCTGTCAAACGTCATCTGTCAAACGTCACCTGTCAAACGTCACCTGTCAAACGTCATCTGTCACCTGTGATGACGTCATACCGGGTTATTGCGGTGAATTCTTGCAATTACAGGTTCCTGTAATATGGAGTTTGCGTGGAAGGGATTGTTCCGAGTCGTTTCGGGTTCTGTGATGACGTCATAGCGCCCTGGGTCACGTCCGTGGAGTCATTTAGAGTACATAGTGCAAAGTTTGATTCAGGGTTCGCGTTCTGTGATGACGTCATAGCGACCTGGGTCACGTCCGTGGAGTCATTTAGACTACATAGTGCAAAGTTTGATTCAGGGTTCGCGTTCTGTGATGACGTCATAGCGACCTGGGTCACGTCTGTGGCGCCATTTAGAGTACATAGTGCAAAGTTCGATTCATGGTTCGGGTTCTGTGATGACGTCATAGCGACCTGGGTCACGTCCTTGGCACCATCTAGAGTACATAGTGCAAAGTTCGATTCATGGTTCGACCTGGGTCTCGTCTGTTACGTCAGTTTGTGTCGGTGGCACCATCTAGCGTACATGTGACAAGTTCGATGTGTCTTATAACAGGATGCTGTGGTGGTGACGTAACTATGAGGGTCCAGCAGCTAGCTTCATGTTGTACCTGGTAGAGGGTGTTCGAACTCAAGGATGAAACACACCTACAGGATTGCTTATTGACCTCGTGTGTTACCATTTACGACGCCATAACTAAGCCATCAGCTGTTTAAACAACCTACGTCAAGGCGAGAAATAACATGCTGCTTACGTCACAACTGGTGATTTAACGTTGGGGAGAGAGTGGATTTGTTCCACACAGGCCTTATGAGGATAGGCTATCCTGTAGTAGTAGTGTGTATTATCCTTGGTTGGAACCAACATTTGATGGGGAAGGGGCCTCGTTTTTTTTTTTTTATTAAAAACATACATTTTTTAAGACAACGATTTCAAAAAGCGAATATTTTCCATCAATAAACTGCTTAATGATCTAATCATTTTGGTGGTACGTCTTGGGAGAAACACTGCGTTGTCGTCAAATTCAACGAGTATTTCAAATCCATAGCTAAAAATATGCCACAATTGTATCGATTACCTAAGTATATAAGATATTTACTTACTAGGTTAAAATAATAATTGTTGCTCAATAATTTTATAATCCTCACTGTGACGAGAAAGAATACAACACTGTGGGCACCCCTTTTAATTCGAACTTCGCTTGACATCTGTTGATCTACCTTAATTTGTATAGTTTACTGGTTCCAGTAAAGATTAGCAATTATTTTGAGGTCTGTATCGTAGAAAATATTGGGTACACTCACTTTCTACGAGGACTTATAATTTTCTCAGCGTTTTTGATCCTTTGTTATAAAAAGACAGGTCTTGTTGATTGATTTCAAATCCATATCTAAAATATTCATAATTGTATCGATATTAGTAAGTATATAAGATATTCACTTACTTGGTTAAAATGATAATTGTTGTGCAATAATTTTATAGTTCACCGAGTTTCAAACAAGACTAAAAGAGCTTAGTTATTATAAAATCCGATTTAAACTTTGAAGTAATCACATACAAAAAACGCTGCCAAAATATTGGGAATTTCACTCTATATCAGGCTTCAGGTCTTGTAATTTTCTCAGTGTTTTTAATCCTTTGCTATAAAAAAACAGGTCTTGTTGTTGATTGATATTAGTATATAAGATATTTACTTACTTGGTTAAAATGATAATTGTTGTGCAATAATTTTATATTTTTCACTGGTGACGAGTTTGAGCAAACTGAAAGAAGCTTGTTATTATAAAATCCGATTTAAACTTTGATATCACATACAAAAGCACCGTCAAATGTAAACGCTTATTTGGCAGTTTTTTTATCTGAATTATATCAGGACCGTTCGCAGAAATCGCCCGAGAAAAACAACAACACATTTTAAAGATAATTTTTTAGTTTAAGGCGTAATTATTAAGTTAGATATTTGATATGTCCATTTTTATTTTAAAAAAGGTGACAAATTCAATCGATTTATCAAAATTTAAAAGAATAGATTTAAATTAGCATCGTTGACATTTTATGAGCCAATAACCCTATGCAATACAAAATTTAAGTGGATACATTGTTACCTGTAAAAGATGAGGATTCAATTTTTATTCTTTGTACAAAAAACGCAGCATCCAGTACCAGTACTTTGAACCTGGATTTTCAAAGTTTAGTTTCTTGTGCGATAAGTGTCGGTTTCGAAAAACTGTAAGTACTATTTTTAAATATCTAAGTGATGTAGGATAAATCATGCCCTGAGACATATTTTAAATTAACACAAACCTCGATTATTGAATTATTTTTATTTTCCTTAACACTTAAACATATTGTTTGTTTTTTAAAAATACAGACAACCCTGAGTACCTATTTTTTAATTTAATTCCAATAGTTTTTTTCGGAGCAACTTGAATTTACTTTTACACTTACATTTGCACAAAACTCAAATTTCTTTTTCTAAAATTTAGGTAGGTTCTTTAACCAATTTAAACTGGTTTTATTTTTTCATTTATTTTAAAACAAACCTCCATAAACAGCGAATTTTTAATTTTATGTACAAAATCGTTCACCAGGAAGGAGATAACCTGAAACGTCATGGGATTGCTAATCATCTTCCAAGATCTGTAACCAGTGTGGTGGGATTTTTAAAGCAGAGGGGGCTATCCAACACCATCAAAACACCCAGCTCCAAGAGAGCCTCCAAACGAAAGGCTGGAGATCCCACCGCCCCCATGATGAAGCAAGCTAGACTTTTGCTGGTAAGTTGACATTAATCGCATTTTTTAAATCTAATTTAATTATTTTCAGGACCTTCAATATCAGCCACATGCCGGTGGTGTGAGGATTGCGACTTGGAGGCACCGATAAATCAATGGGTTGGTCATCTTCGGTGTCTCTAGCACCGAGCCAACACCTGGTGAAGCAGGAGGA